ATACCTGGATTTGGTGGTTTTCTATGGTACTTATTTTCGAGGCAAATCCTACAGTTTGCGATGATAGTTTTGAGAATCGATTTCATTTTTGGGAAGTAGTATTCTTCCGTTATTTGTTTATGATTTTCGTGGAGACATCAATGGGCTCTGTTGTGCTCTGTTGTTGCTGTCTCCATTTGATCCTCTCTATTGGTCAAATCGATGACAAGTTTCTGCATGTGAATGAATTTAACACCTGAATATTCCTTCCTTAACAGATTTTGAATTGTTGCCAAAGTTGGTAGATCACAATGTAGACCATTTACTGCATTTGGGTTTATTTTATCTTTGATTGTATTTAAAAGAAATTCTGTGTTTTTGAAATTTATTGTGTGGCGTACAAATTTTTTAAATAGGATTTTAGTGTTTTTATTATTTGAATTACAATGCGACAAAATTAGTTGATTTCTAAATTGGTTTACAGGAGAGTTTACTGTTTTAATTATAGCAGATGAAGATTCTTCACTGTGGACTGTATTTCCGTCTGAAGTCAAGTTATTAATGTATTGTCTAGATAAGGTGTCTGCCACTTTGTTTTCTTTCCCTGGTTTATAGAAGAATTTTGGGGAAAATTCCTCTATAAATGCACGCCATCTTTTAATTTTTGAATTAGGATTCTTGTCCGATATTGAAAATGTGAGAGGTTGATGATCTGTAAAGATTTTCAGGTTTCCAACACCATATAAGTAGTGGCGTAACGTTTGTAAAGCCCAAACTATTGCTAGTAATTCGCGTTCATTTGTAGCGTAGTTTTCTTCACACTTACTTAGGGTTCTAGAGACCATTGTTATTGGTCTACCCTCTTGAGACAATACTGCTCCTAAAGCTACTGATGATGCATCAGTGGTAAGCTCGAAGGCCTTATCGTAGTCTGGATGCTGTAGAAGTACATCTTCTGAAGCTAAAATTTGCTTTAATTTATTAAATGCTTTTACTGCATTCGCATTTAAATTTATTTTAGTATGTTTTGATTGTTTGGTTCCAATGTGACCATTTTCTCCTCTTAGGTATGCAGTCAGTGGCTTTGCTATTGCCGCGTAATCCCTTACAAATCTCCGATAATATCCGGATAGTCCTAGAAAGGCACGCAGTGATCTCAACGACTTTGGTTGTTTGTAGTTTAAAATTGCATTGACTTTACCCGGGCATGTTTTAATGCCATTAGCTGAGACAACAAATCCTAAAAACTCTACTTCGTTTTGAAGGAACTTAGATTTTTCAGTAGAAACGCGCATTCCCGCGTTTTTCAGTTTGGTTAAAATATTACTGACATGGTTAAGATGACTGACTTTGTCTAAGGAAAAGATGATTATATCATCCATATAAACATGGCATGTTTTTCCTATGTCATCCCGCAAAATGTCATCAATGGCCCGCTGAAAGATACTAGGGGCATTTTTTAAGCCGAATGGTAAGCGACAAAACTCATACTTACCATTATTTACACTGAAGGCTGTTTTATGCCTATCTTTTTCGTCTAAAACTATCTGGTGAAACCCAGACTTGAGGTCTAGAGTCGTGTAAAACTTCGACTGTCTTAGATTGGACAATATCACTGTTGTATCCGGTATAGGATACTTATCAGTTATCGTTTGTTCGTTTATTTTTCTAAAGTCAATTACCATGCGTAGCTTTGGTTTTCCATTTTCGTCCACACCTTTCTTATTTACGACGTGGATGGGGGAATTATAAGCTGAAGAGGACTTTCTGATAATACCATCTCTTAGTAATGTTTTTATTTCGTTATTTATAAATTCCGCTGCCGATATTGGGTACGGATAACTTCTCGAATAAATTAGATCGTTTGTTATTGTATTGATAGTTGCTTTTACTTGAGTATGAAAAGGTAATGCTCTATCGGGATTAGCGAATGCCTCGATATTTGTTTCCACCAACTGCTTCACTTCAGAGTTAAAATTTTCCGGTGTATTATTGCAATTAATGGATATAGAGTTGACCTGTTGACAACGTAAATGACGAAGTTGTTCTTTTCCTGTTTTATGGAAAAGTGTATCGTGTTTTGCGTTAATAATTGCCTCTATTTCTTTAAGGAAATCGTATCCTATAATTCCATCGAAGCTTTCGAGTACTGGAAGTATGAAAAAAGTTGTTACTTTACTTAAAATATTTATTCGGCATTTCTCCACTATATTATTAATGCCATTCACGGATCTTATTTGGAATGGATTTTCCACTCTTTGAATGCCCGTTAAGAATACGTTTTTTTTAATATAGTTTTTTGAAGTTCCTGTATCAATTAGTATTCGAAGCTCTTTACCACGTTTCGTTGTTCGAATAATGAATGGCAAGAGCGAGTTTATCCTAAAAAATGAATATTTTCCCGGGACTCAGTTTTGACTTCTTCTTTAAATGGATAGTCGTTATTTTCCTCTTTTATATGATTTATTCTCTGTAGTTTGTGAAATGGTGATTGCGCTGAATTGCTGCTAGCATGTGGTCGCTTGGTATTTTGAAATATTTGTCGTCCTTGTTGTTGGGGGATAAATATATTTGGTTGTTGATGGAATTGTTATTTATTTGGTCTTCGATAATATGAAGTTCCATATTCCACTTCCATTGGAACTGGTATATCCCGACGATAATGGGGTGTATTCTGGGCAAATTGTTTATTTTGAGAGTGATTTACTGGATTATTTTGTCTATTGTTGTTTGTTCCCATTGAAAAATTCCTTGCCGTAGCGAATGTTTGAGCAAAATTATATCGTTGCTGGTTCTGTTCCAGTTCTTGTGCCGTTGCGTGTGCTGTCGGTAAATCTGCTGGGCGAGATGAAAACAGTATATCGCATATTGGTCTTCGGAGGCCTGATATAAAAATTCTAAGAGCATTTTCTCTAGTTCTTTCATTAAGCACTGTTATCAATTCTTCATTTCCGCTATGGGTCATTATATGTTTGTTTCTTATAAGCGTAAGTTGTTTATCTACTGTGTCATAGTATTCATTTATTGTTAATTTGCCTTGTCTTAGAATACTAAGTTCGTTCTCTAAAACGTGCAAGGGTCTTTTATCAGAATAGGCCTGATCGAGTCTGGATATTATAGCATTAAAATTCAAGACAGTATTAAAAGCACTAAGAGTGGAATTTGCAGGTCCTGTGATTCTATTTCTAAGGATACCCATTGCTACATAATACGGTTCCGACCCATCCCGATAGTAGCTCATAGCAAAATGAGCAGCCTCTCTCCAAGCAGGATATTCGGTTGAAATGCCTTTAAACTCCGGCAGAGACTTGATGAGATCCATATTAGTATGTGTGCTAACCACACCTGCCCTAATTTGAACGGGTTTATAAGGTTCAATTTGCGGAGGTTGTAATTTACTGATTAGATTAGATAATTCTGCAATTTGTTTTGAAAGTTCATTTTTAGAAACATCAACCGCCGTTTCCACTAAACTTAATATCTAATTTCTGTCCATTTTATTATTATAAGGGGGACAAAGCAGATAAAAAAAACAAGTAGAGGTTTGGCAAAGAAAAATAATATGTTTTCCGTTTTAAAAAAAAATATGTTGAATTTTAATTATATTTTTAATGATTGACTATGAATTGTACTTACAATATTAGTGAGTCCATTCCAAAAATAAATCGTGAATAAATCGTAAATAATAATAATATTTTTAAACTAATAATTTTTATGATATTTGTACAAAAAGACAAAAATTAAGGGAACAACAAAAGAAAACTCTGTTATAAATTCAAAAATTTTAAAAATTATTTCTTATAAAAGATCTATAAATTTATAATGAAAATAATTTTGGTTATAAAAAAAAATTTTTTTTTTTCAAGTTTAGGTTATTTTGATATATTTCAAATTTTGTTTATTTAAAATTTTTTATTGCAAAAATTTTTTAAAATATTCCACTTTTGCGAATTTTAATATATTTCAAATTTTGTTTATTTAAATTTCTTATTGCAAATTTTAATATATTTCACTTTTGATAATTGTAAATTTTAATATATTCCAAATTTTATTTATTTAAATTGTAATTTTTAATATATATCAAATTTTGTTTATTTAAAAAAAATTTTATTGCAATTTTTTTAATATATTTCGCTTTTGGTAATTGTAAATTTTAATAAATTACAAATTTTGTTTAATTCATTTTTGGTTATTGCAGTTATTGCAAATGTTAATATATTTCACTTTTTGGTTATTGTAAATTTTACTATATTCCAAATTTTGTTTAATT